TATATATATTGAGCTGTGTGCAGCTGTAAACACACAGGAGAGGTGTGAAGATGAGGAGGAGAGATGAAGGAACGCTGCAGGGGGAGGAAAGTGGGTCAGRAGAGCAGCTCTTTGCTACAAACAGGACAACCTTCATTTCTTCTTCTTTTGTTTCTGTCCTCTACAACCTTTCATTTCTGAACTTTTCCTCACATTCTTCACTTTTATTCTTCTTTTTATTCTTCGTCTTTTCCACTCCACGTTCATCTTCTGACTTCATCATCCTGTTTTCTCATGTTTGCTCCTTTTCTTTTCATTACAGCTTTATAACACTGATTACAACAAACTGAGTAAAGCAGTTGTGAGGATGAGTTGCAGATAAACACACGTACGTACAAACATGTCAGAGGTGATGGAGTGAGTCACGTCTGCCCACAGTGTTCTGCACAACAGGTAGAGAGAGACGAGCAGTCCCACAGAGAACAGGCTTCATCACAAACACAACAGCTTGCTGCACCTCATGGGAAAATTTGCACTTTTCTGTGCTTTTGACGCTGCATAACAACCAGCGGAGGACATTTCGTTGCTTCGTGATGCCAGCGTTGCCACAGCACCCACGTACTCATCCTCACCAACACTACTGCAGTCATTAATCAGCTGAATATTGACATCTCTTCGTGGCTGCAGCTCAGTTCCTGCAGCCAGCGAGGTCACTCTGAAGCCGGCTGCTTCATGTGGGACCAAACGTCCCAGCTCCACGGGAAGAAGAAAGTGGAACGTTGTGAATAATGAGGAGATGTCTGCAGAAACGTTAACGCTCTCAGTGAAACTCAAACATGCATCAACTGTGTTCTCTGAAGCCCAGCAGGAGTCTGGCATTGATTTCTGTCACAATCTGAGCTGAGAAGAAGCTGAGAGTCTGAAGTAAAAACTGTAAAAGAACAGAAACAAGATCCAGGATTAAAGAAACTTCCAGAGTTTCAGCAGAAAGAATCAGTTTCATGTGGAGMAGAACCAAGCTGCTGCTGACAACCATTAAACTGTGACTGTTCATCAGGTCAATGTCTGTGTACTGCAGAGACAAGAGCAGGAAGTACACAGTACTACAGGAGGTAAACAGTACTGCAGGAGGTGAAGAGTACAGCAGGAGGTGAAGAGTACTGCAGGAGGTGAAGAGTACTGCAGAGACAAGAGCAGGAAGTACACAGTACTACAGGAGGTAAACAGTACTGCAGGAGGTGAAGAGTACTGCAGGAGGTGAAGAGTACTGCAGGAGGTGAAGAGTACTGCAGGAGGTGAAGAGTA